GTTGTAATATCCGATAATTCTAACGAGAGTAGACATGCAAGCTTACTGCACATTAAATAAAATAAATTAAGAAAAGAAAATATACAAACAGAACTTCAAGCATCAACATACTAATTTTATCGTAATTACGTTTGAACAAGTTCTTTTTTTTATTAAAACACGATTCATTTAAATAGTTATGAATTTAACAACTTTTATTTATATTTCTTAAAATTAAGTCAATTATAAAATATATTATGTACGTATTAAGTATAATCATCGAACATGCCATATCTCCAGCAATGGCCTAAATATTTTCTCTATCTATATACATAGAATCTATAAATTAAATAATTACATCAGTTCACATTTGGCGAAGATATCGCGTAACACATAAACACACATTCGTCAAAGTTAAGCAGGTATCTCCTTGTTTGTTGTTAACCATAGATCTACAAATAAATGAGGATAAAGAAGATACCTAAAGTATGAAATATCAAGACAGACTTATTAAATCAAGTAAAAAAGGTTAAAGATATTAATTTATAGTCTGAAAGTGTTTTGGCAAGGTTCTAGACATCACGCGCTCAAGAACACATTTGTTATCATTCCGGTAATATTTGCGGCTTTGGCAGACATATTTGCCATTCTGTCTGTTCTTTTAAAGTAAACTATGCTTTATGGAGAAAATTATTTTCCATGCTGTTATTTCAAGTGAACTTCTCTTTTAATTAAGGTTTTATTTGAATTTACTCGCAGTGAATGCTTAACAAATTTGAATGCAAGCTATAGTTTATAGTATCATCTTGTACAAGATAGTGTTTCATGTTTTCGTTCATAAATAAAAAAATAAATTATCTGTACATAAATGTATAGATAAAAAAACTATTTTTTCGGATTTTTTCGCGGATTTATTTTCGTATGCTATACAGCAATCATATTCACGGAAGAAACTAAAATTTTAGATGTCTCAAATGCATTATACCCATCGTTGTTAAACGAAACGAAACGACGGGAACCAAAAATCGAAATAAATCCGTGAAAAAAACCGAAAAGATAGTTTTATTTAAAATGTCAAATATTCGCGTAAATCTAAGAAAGTATTATCTGTACATCAATAGGTACATGAAAAATGTAATTTTTAATCATATTTTTTAATATCATTTTTAATGATATTTTTATGTAGGTATCTAATATCATTTTTATGTCTTAAGCATGTACAGGTAATTATTTTTTATAAATTAAATCGAAATGTTTCGATGTGAGTTCAGAATAGTTATTTCATAATATATATATTACACTTATTTAGGCTATACAGAAGCCCAAACAATAATTTCATAATTGTTGTGTCCGTGTCTCCCTTCCCTCCCTTCTCTTATTTTGTGGAAGGGTCAAACTAAAATCGAGATTTTCAAGACTTATTAAGGATTCCAGCTAGAGTTTCATCGGTATTTTTCAGGAAAAGAAGAAAAATCTGGGCAGCTCATATTAACGTGAGGGTTCAGATAGAAATGACACGGGCACATGGTCCAAAATTCGATAAAATGCTACCGAAAATAAATTCCTTCTCCACATGTCATGCTACTCTTAAATGCAAGTAAAATGTAAAATACAATAATTGTGTTTAATTATGTGAAATAAGTATTTTATTAAGATGTTATGAAATGATTATTACTCAGACGCTTAAATTTCTTTTCTAAAAATAATATTAAATTTTTTGATCGACATATTTTATAAAGAGGCCTTTTAAAGAGCCCATTTATACAACAAAAATCGTTAAAAATAGAAAAAGATTATTTTACAATTTACGGTTTTAGAATCTTGTCATGCTTTATTTTGATTGATTCTATTTTCGTGAAGGCTTTTATATTAATTACTTTCTATGGACTTACCACGTACCTAAAGAGAGTGATGGGATGATAAAAATAGATATTAATAGAATGTGAATTATTACTTTTTAACCCTATAATGGCTCAATTATAGTAAAATCAGAAATGGGCATATATCCTGGAATATCACATAAGCTATTTTCATCGACGTCTTTAGTATCACTATCGTTGTCTATAACTCTATATAGTATCCATACAATTCAATATAAACGCTCTTATATACGAGTATCATTATAGGCAGTGGTAGCCCAGTGGTAACGCGCTTGCTTGAGAAACCGAGTGAAGCGGGTTCAAATCTCGGGTCTCGCACCTCTGATATTTTCATGTGCGAATCATTTCTAACATGATTACCACTAGCCTTACGGTGAAGGATAAACATCGTGAGGAAACCTGCATGTCTGAGAGAACCTAGCAAGTTTTCGAAAGACATGTCAATTCCGCCAACCCGCACTTGGCCAGCGTGGTGGACTATGGCCTGATCCCCCTCGTATTGAAGGGAGGCCCGTGCCCAGCAGTGGGACGTTAAAAAGGGCTGAATATAATACAATACATATACAAGTATCAAGAAGTTTTTCTCATTAAATAAGTACCTACTACGATGTTACACACTCCTTATGCATTTCCAACAAAATACAGACAATAACGTTTTTCTCTTAGCATTTTCCCTAAACAGACTATTCCCAATGGATCCCCTTTATAGTACGGTATGTTTATCGAGCAATGGAGATTCGCAAACAAAAAAGCCTGCCGTGTATCTTTTGTATAGTACATTTTTTAAACTTCGGGAAACCAATTTGGTTCCGCGGTAGTATTGACTGAAGGTAAATGTGCCGTTATTTCTGTTGGATATATTTCGAGTCGAAATACGATTGTTCTTTTAAATTCTGTTTCTTGTATGATGTTAGTTCTTCCTGTTTATATTTTATAATGAATTCGAAAATTTTTAACTAAAGTTTTAATGGGATAGATTTATGTATATACTTTCTATGAAGCTGTATTCTCTAGAAGTCGTATTAAATAGGTAATTGTTTTAAGCAAATAATATTTTAAAATTATAAAACATGACGATTATAATAATTTGTTGATCATAGATGATAATTTTTTATGATTACCACAGATAATTTACCACAGAATTACTCGAGCTAATATTTTAATATATGAACAATGAACATGCTTATAATAGTTTCGTTGTACAAAGTATGTAATAAAAGCTAAAAGTCGAATTTAACCTTATCGTATAAACTTTAAACTTTGAAGAGATATTCAAACACTTTGTTAGACAAAGTCAGTAAGTTACTCCTTCAAATGAATTTGTTTGTTTTGATAAATCCATTATCTAAACGTATCAACATTCTCTAATTATTTTTAAAACCATACCAGTTTTCTTAAAAAGCCTCTATATATAAGTAAAGATAAGCCACTAAAAGGAAAGAGACTTTTAAAGGATTTTGCGCGAGAATTGTTTTTTTCAAATTCGATATACGTGCTGGGGAATGCGTATAATGAGATTAAGTTTGAAAACAATTTTCTATAAGCTATAAAAAATGTTTCATAGTAAAATAATATAGAAATAAATATTTCTTTGATTTAGAGATTAGTTGAATAAAATACAAAACAAAACGTATAAAATAATATTAATTCCTCGTTGAACACAGACATATAAATTTTGCAGCATTCAAAAGCAAAAGAGATTTCCAAAACATTACCAAGCTCGGTAGACTGCACCTAGTCACAAGTACGGTCTATTAAAACGTTTAGTTCAATAGTGGTGGACTTGTACTACGTGCATGCCGGGCGCCCTTGACACATGCTTCAGCCGATCCTCTAATAGCTCGCTTCTCGACCATTATATTTAAATAAAACACAATTTAAATCCTATTTCGAGCGCAATAAGAACGATAAATAAGTCCACTGTACACATAATTAGTTAGTTACCACTTTATGATCAACAGATAAAATTGTAAGAATAAGCCATACCTTTGCATACAATTTTAATGTTTATGGAAACAAAATAGCGTCTATTCTACTGCGACAGTAAGTTTTTTTTTATTAAGGTCTACCAGCAGTTTTACAATTATATACATTTATGGCTTATATACATATACAAGTGAAATATAGGTTAGTAATTGTAAATCTATTTAAAGGTAAACACAACATGCTCAAAAAAACAATTAAATGTAACAGAGAAATAAACAATTAGTGTGTGAGATTAATATTATTAGTAAAGACAGTTTTGATGTTTGTTCTAAAGACATTGAGTGAAGTGTTAAATACATCGATTGAAATACTGCACCTGTAAAGTTTCGTGTAAGTCATAACATCGTTAGTGTAGACCTACTAAGTACCTACGGCCATGGTACATCAAATATACATAAGACAGTCTGCTCCAGTTGAAAAAAATGACTTAAGACGTTTCAAACCGCGATTTCCTTCACATAGCTGAAACATGTCAAAAGCAGACTAAAATCAGATCTAAAGATTTTTTATCGAGGCTAGCATATCTTCATCTATGTAGACATGTAATAAAATTGTAACTGAGCTGAATCTGTACTTGACTGTACCGAACTTGGTAAAAATGAAAGTATAAAGAAAATACTTTTATAATTATTCTTAAATGTTATGAAAATATTATAGTATTATAGTATAATGGCTAATTATAGTATAATGGCTTTATTAAGTTTATATGAAAAACCTGCTTTTTGCTGACATGAGAGACGTTAAGGTAAGATATTCTGATTAAACATAAATCAAGGAGCAAGTGATGCTACGGGCAAGGCTACTAAATATAAGTACTGCGTTCTCATACGCACAGTATCGTGCGAAATCCGATATATTTACTCGTACATGCAAAAAACTTAAAGTATGTAAAGGCTCTTTAACTCACGATCTTGCAGGTCTTTAATGACGCATTTGCCATTTTATGTCATGAATGTTTTTAAAGCTTCACTTTAATAACTTACAATAATTATATAATGAATAAAAAGCTTTATTTATAACTTTAAATAAAAAATACTTATATATAATTATAACTTTAAATAAAATAACCTTATTTATAACAGTCGCGCACGCGCCGCGTTACGTGTCGGGCGTGTGTTTGCTCGGAGTGTATGCATTACGTTGCAATTTCGAAAAATGACGTTAAAGTGCAATAACTGCAATTTAGTTATTAGTGAGCTTCTAGCATACGTGCAAAACAAGCTGTCTGTGGCAGATGAGGACAGCATTGTAAGAATATGTGTGGCGACGTTTACATCTGAACAAATTGAGGAGGCAAATAACTTGCTTGTGCATTCCTTACCGACCGACCTGCGTAAAACTGCGAGAAAAGGAAAAGGCAAAGCAAACCGCTTAGTGAACGATATAATCAGCGTTTTTAAAGTCACCGATCCTGATGTCTTGCCAGTTTTTGTGGCGAGAGACTTAGACAAGTTACCCCCGATTACTTTCGATCACCTCGATGTATCAAAATTACTTAAAGATCTAGCCCTTGTACAGGCCGAGTTAAAAACCATCAAGTCGTCATACGTAACCGTCGACCAGCTGGAAGACGTGAAAAGGGAGTTCCGAATTCTTAAGCATACGTCACCGCCCTTCTCAGCAGCAAAAGTAAACATGAGAAGAGGAGCTTATCGGGACAGTGGGCCCATTGGATTTTCTCAACTCGACGATACGGTCATTACAAATCACAGTGATCGTCCTAACGCTAAAACTTCATCTCCGAGAGATTTTAACGTAGATTATAGGAGCATAAACTATATGGAGGGTACTCGTAGTGCTCTTAAAAATTACAAATCTCAACGGACGGTCGAAAGCGGAGAACGAGAGAGTGACGTGGAACGGGTCAGTGGCGAGGACGAGAGCGAGAGAGAGGCAAATAATGTGTTATCGCATACGGTAAGCGCGCCGAGAGGTACGCCGAGTGAGACAACGTTAAATCAAGCAACACGAGGGGATGCTACGTCATTCGCAGAGGTGACAAAGACAGAAGGCGAGTGGAATGTTGTACAACGCCGAAAACCTAAAACGGCATCGTATCGTTATCGGGGAGCCGCGGGTGTCTCTAAAGAAGAAAATTGTAACTTTAAAGCCGCGGAAAGGAAAGTTCCTATTTTTATTACGATGGTGCATAAGGACACGAAGGAGAGTGATATTGTGGAGTATGTGTACAATAAAACACAAGAACATATTAAAGTCGAAAAGATTACTTTTTTGAAAGGAAACAAAGATTACAACGCATACAAATTTTTTGTATCAGAGCGGAAGATATCAATATTTTTAGATGAAACACTTTGGCCACAGGGAGTGATATTCAGGCGTTTCGTCAATTTCAAACGAAAGTACAGCTCTGGCACGAACGGTGTAACGGTGAAGACAATGTACGGCCCTACCCCTACTGGCAATGGATAATAGTCTCCCGTGTAACTTAGTAAGTTTCAACTGTAAAAGTATAAAACGCTCAATAGACAATGTAAGGCACCTGTGTCAGTTGGCGGACTTAATAGCCTTACAGGAAACATGGTTATTTCCACACGATATTCAGTTTCTTAGCGGGATTGACGGACGTTTCGGCAGCACGGGCACTTCTGCTATTGATACGGCGGCTGGCGTCGTGTACGGCCGTCCTTATGGAGGTGTAGCGCTGTTGTGGAATAAAAGTGTATTTCCTAATGTGTCTGTGGTGGATTGTGAAAACCCACGAATATGTGCCATAAAAATAGTGTTGGGCGATAGGTCCATTTTAGTGTTTAGTGTGTATATGCCTACGGATAAAATGATAAACCTTACGGAATTCACGGATTGCCTCAGTTCGGTGAGTGCTATTATTAATAATATGAATATCGAATGTGTTTACATTCTTGGTGACTTTAATGCGCATCCAAACAATAGGTTTTATGATGAGTTAATGTTTTTTTTGTGACGAACAAGAATGGGCGTGTGCGGATGTACAGCTTTTAGGTGTTAGGTCGGGAACTTACACTTTTGTTAGTGAGGCCAACGGGTCGAGAAGGTGGCTTGATCACTGTGTGACCACTAAATCCGCTGTATCGTCAATTGTAAATGTATATGTTAAGTATGACGTGTTGTGGTCTGATCATTATCCTTTAATTATTGAATGTAATCTAACTAATATAAAACCAAAGTGTAGTAGTAAAAATAAAGTGATTAACGAGATTCTATGGGGAGATAGAAAACCGGAGGAAATACAATTATTCACTAATTTATGCCATGAAAAATTGAGATCTATCGATCTCCCCGAAGAGTTTCGTTCTTGTTGTGATTATATGTGCGAGCGTATTGATCACACATTACTTATAGATAAATTATATAGCGAGATTATTAATATTTTATCTGTGGCTGCCACTGAGTCTAAAACTGTAAGATCACGCGGTGGGAAGCGTCCTGTGGTTGGATGGAACAGGTATGTACGCGACGCCCACTGGGAGGCCAGGTCTAAGTTTTTAATGTGGGTTTGGTTGGGTAAACCTAATAATGGTTGTGTCTATGAAGACATGCGCCGAAGTCGCAGTGTATTTAAGTCGCGCTTAAAGTGGTGTCAGAACCACAGTGAACAAATAAAAATGGACATTTTGGCTACGCAGCATTCGAAAAATGATTTTCGTAATTTTTGGAAATCGACAAATAAATTAAATAATAGATCTGGTCTACCAGAGAGCGTAGAAGGTATTAATGATCATAGCCGTATAGCAGACATGTTTAAGGAACATTTCACAGTGATATCACCGTTGGGACCATCACAGCCTGCAAGAGATAAGTGTAGGCATGGCCAGCAGGTTGAAATCAGATTTACAGCGAAGAATGTCAATGATGCTATAACGTCTATGTCGCGGGGCAGGTCTCCTGGCCATGACGGACTTAGTATTGAACATTTAAAGCACGCGGGTCCTCATTTGCCCGGAGTACTTGCCATGTTTTATAATTTATGTATAGCTCACTCGTACTTGCCTGCAGCCCTGATGAAAACTGTGGTGGTGCCAATTGTGAAAAACAAAACTGGGGACATATCTGATAAATCCAACTACAGGCCCATTTCACTTGCCACCATTGTTGCGAAAGTGCTTGACAGTATGCTTAACGTCCAGCTTGATAAACACATTCACTTACATGACAATCAGTTTGGCTTCAGGCCCGGTTTGTCAACGGAATCAGCAATATTTTGTCTAAAGCAAACTGTGAAGTACTACTCGGTTAGGCAAACGCCTGTGTACGCCTGTTTCCTTGACCTTAGTAAGGCATTTGACCTGGTCAATTACGATATTCTATGGCAGAAACTAAAAAATACTGGATTGCCTGAAGAAGTTACCGGGATCTTCAAATATTGGTATCATAATCAGGTCAATGTCGTGCGATGGTCGGAAACCTATTCGCAGCCATACGGATTGGAGTGCGGGGTGCGACAAGGGGGCTTAACTTCCCCTAAGCTCTTCAATCTCTATATCAATGCACTGGTGGAGGCGCTCAGTACTACTCATGTTGGTTGTCATATTGACGGAGTGTGCCTAAATAACATTAGCTATGCAGATGACATGGTGTTGCTGAGTGCGTCTGCTTGTGGTTTAACGAAATTGTTGAGTATATGTGAAAATTATGCCTATAGTCACGGTTTGATTTATAACGTAAATAAAAGTGAATGCATGGTGTTTCGTGCCAAAGGAAAATCTCAGCCCTCAACTTCACCACCCATTAAGTTATACGGTACCCCGTTAAAGAGGGTGTTTCAGTATAAATACCTAGGTCATGTGATATCCTTTGACCTGAAAGACGATGCTGATATATAGAGAGAACGTAGGGCATTATCTGTGAGAGCGAATATGATCGCACACAGGTTCGTTCGTTGTTCCATCCCTGTTAAGGTGACCCTCTTTAGAGCTTACTGTACTTCTTTTTATACTAGCAGCCTGTGGGTCGATTACACGCAAAAACAGTATAGTGCCCTGCGTGTTCAGTACAATAATGCATTCAGGATGCTGATGGGACTGCCTCGTTGGTGCAGCGCGTCGGGTATGTTCGCCGAGGCGCACGTAGATTGTTTCTACGCTATCATGCGCAAACGGTGCACATCCCTGGCACGCAGGGTTCGGGCCAGTTCCAATAGCATCCTGAGGGCATTTGCTGACAGGCTCGATTGTCAGTATTTGAACCATTGCCAAATGGTGCACATGCTGACAAATCGAGGCTGTCTTAGATAAGGTTTAGGATTAAGTAGGTTAAATGTGTACTAACATTAGGTTACAGTGTGTCTTTACTAACAAAATATGATCCTTGAAGGTTGAAATAAATGATATTATTATTATTATTATAACTGTGTTTCTTAGTCTCGATAAAATGAGAACACATAAAAGAATTTATTATACTAAATTATAGTATTAAATTTATTGCGAGATATGTGTATATGTATATGGATAGAATATTTATGAATGACATGATTTCCACATATTTTTTAGAAAGTTACTATTAGTACAATTATTACTGTTCGACTAATATATAATTATTTGTCCAGGTACTTTATTTTGTTTTATTTTTTTATTTAAAGAAATCGTAGGTTGAGAACGCTACGAGTACTTCACTCCCGCCTTAGCTTTCTCTTTTTTTATTTCAAACCCAGAACCACCAATATTATAATTGCTTTATGTTATTTAAGATTAAAAATATATGTGTTTTTAATAATCAATAGCCGGACTAATAAAAATAATATTAATCATAAAGTTAATAGTAAAAGATAATTACTGTATCAATAGTATCAGCATATATACATACTCGTAACATGTGTCTTTATGTAAATCCCGCAATATGGAGTTTGTATTGCTATTATAAATACCACTATAAATTCATTTCAACGTATTCATAAATCTAATAGGTGTATAAGTTTTAAGATTCATAACTTATAGAATCACGATAATATTTATATTATCTTTGTATGTATTTCAAATAATTTTATAATCTGTGGCCACTGATACTGTGGGACTGATGTATGTTAAGCCTCTTATTATATACATAATTATGTTCCAGTATATTGAAATGTAATGAAATATTACAATTTATTAATTACTAGCGACTCACCCTCGGGTTCGTCCCTAGCTGCTCCCCAATACAAACTTTCATCCCCATTTTCACCCCCTTGAGGGATGATTTCCGGGATAAAAAGTAACCTATGTCCTTCCCTTTTCCCCCTTTTTCCCCTTCAATTTTCATTTAAATCGGTTCAGTAGATCTAGAAATTACCCCCTACAACGTCACAAACTCACAATCTCACAAACTCACAAACTTTAGATCTTTATAATATTAGTATAGATTAGTCATCATAGTATTTTCTCTATAGTAGAAAGTATGAAAATAACTATTGGTTTCAATAATTATGCTTTCCATACATCGGTAGTCACGTTGTCGACGCGACGCGAGAAGGTCTAATGCATATAACGACTTACAATTTCGAACTTCTTGCCATCGGGTAAAATCTGCAATTTGCAAAATTGCAGTAGCATGAGGGTCGCAGTAATTGCAATCTCTTGCCAATAGTTGAAAGCGATAAATAAATATGGATAGATTTCCCTCATTGCCCCTAAATGACGCGAACGTCAAACCAGACGTTATGCGAGCAAACATTATCTAAAAGTTCAAATGTGCTTATTTTCAGTGAGACTAAAACAAGCTTTCAGTGAAAAAAATATTTAAAAGTCATTACGCTTCAGTTAATATTTCTAGAGTTTGTATATTTCATAAAAGCTTTCAATAAAATGAAAAGTAGCAAAAAAATATTTCAGTAAAAATGTCTTTTTATGTATAAAATTGTTTCGTTCTGTATTTAATGCAGAATTCGTTACTTCTACGTTGTTTAAAAAATTAAAATAATAGCTTTCATATTATTATTATTATATCCGTTTCTATGCGATTCGAGATATAACAATAGCGATAATAATTAAGATATTAATACCAATATTTTAAAGTACGCAACATTTTGTTATACGTTAAGTAGACCGGCAGAAAATTAATGGGAGACTTGAAACGAGTCAATATAATATTAAGTTAAGATTAATTACCGCTTCGCTAATAACGTACCAAATAAAACAAGCTTGGATATTTTGTCGATTTTCAATTAAAACTTGGTATTTAAAACACGTCACCAATTCAATGACCAGGTTAAATATTTTGTCAATAACATAACCGATATTGAAACAAACTTCGAAAGTTAAATAGGGGTTTCATCTGAACATGACGTTTTCAGTACCGAGACCATTTCGAATTAAAATTTCTATAGCAGGTTCTAAAAGTAGCACGGCGAATTAAGTTTCATACTTCCATAGTGTGGGAATTGTCCAACCTGACGTAACGGAGTTGTAAAGGCCACCGAATTGATTGGGTGCGAATTGAATATTCCACGGTACATG